TGGAAACTGCATTGATCATTTTTATTCCCTGAATTATTATTCATAATTTGAATATGAAGCTCTTGTACTTTCTCAATACTGGTGTATACATCTGTTACCTATTTTGTGACTGTAATACTGTCTGTATTGCTTGTAAAGTAATGTCACAATAATCAAAGCAGCTGGAATTTCCTGTGGAGAAAACAGCTTACATTTTTCTTTATTTCTTCCAAGGATAGGTGATGGGGCAGTTTTTTATGACTATTAGCAGTCAGTTGTATTAAGACAGGATCCTATTTCTGAATAACCTATTAAGGAATAATGTCAGTGAAAATGAAATCACAGAATCACAGAATATGAGGAGTTGGGAGGAACCTGGAAAGCTCATCTAGTCCAACCCCCCTGCCACAGCAGGATCACCTAGACTAGGTTGCAGAGGAACACGTCCAGGTGGGTTTTGAGTGTTTCCAGACAAGGAGACTCCACAACCTCTCTGGGCAGCCTGGGCCATGCTCCATAACCCTCACACTCACAAAGTTTGGCCTCATCTTCAGCTTGAACCTCCTGTATTCCAGTTTGGGACCACTGCCCCTTTTCCTGGCATTGGCCATCTCAGAGCAGAGCCTGGCTCCTTCCTCCTGACACTGCCCTTTCCAGATGGATCCCCAGGAATGGGGCACCCCTCAGTCTCCTCTGCTCCAAGCTCAAGAGCCCCAGCTCCCTCAGCCGCTCCTCAGCAGGAGATGCTCCACTCCCTCCATCCTCTTTGTGGCCCTGGTGGACTCTTTCAAGCATGTTGAGGCAAAGCAGTTACAGAGAAATGTGAAGACAGTAGAGGCTGTGGCAGGGTCTAGTGATTTAATATATTTATTCGATGTAGTCTCAGCAATGCATTAAGCAGATATTGATTCTTTTTTCCCTATTGCATCTTTTCAGAAAAGAGAACTGACAGCAACGGCAGAGTGTATTTTGTCAATCACAACACCCGAATAACGCAGTGGGAAGATCCCAGGAGTCAGGGGTAAGAAATCAGTTGCAGCTTCGTTTGAGTCTAGAATGAAAATGTAACAAAGTGGTGAGACTGAGAGCTAGGAAGTGCTGCCCACAGCTGCAACGTGGACTGTCCTACACTAACTTCAGACAGCCCGTTAAAATAATAAAAGGCCAAAATGTAAACTGTCAAAACATTACTTAGTAATAGGTACAATTATCAGGAAAGTCTTAGTCAACAGCAATAAGCCTTGCTGTTGTTACATTTATGTTTCTATTTGCTGTTATTCC